AATGTATTTTCAAGAGTTTGGGGAACATTATTAAGGTTCATTTCCATGCTGCAGCTGCAGGAGTTGGAATTATGAAAGTGAAGAAGCTGTAAAACTGAAAAGGTCAGTAATGACATTCATCTATTCCAGCTGTCAAATCAAGGGAATGTTAACAAAACTAGTCTCTGGTAGAAAAGCTAATTGTCTCCTTGTATTTTGCTGCCCCAATACACATACTCTACTGTGGCTAATCCATAGGAAAGAACACAATGGAACAGTGTATCATTTTTTGAACAGGCCTCTTGCAAACAAATAAACCTAATTTCCCTAAATGAGCAAGCTCTAATGATTCTATAACCTAAATTTGTCTACAAGGCAGCCAAAATTTTCAAGTTTGAAGAAAACGGTATATGAATAAAGTTCAAGTTATCCTGGAAGCTGAGTTTCCAGAGTGCTCAGAGTATAGAGTAAATTTAAAATTTTGCACTAATGCAGTCCTGAAAGCAGCATTTCTAAAATGACTCCTACCAATACATGTTTTATTATAACAACACATAGAAAAGTTTCTTTCACAGATCAAATCTTTTCTAGATGACCTGGATTTAATGAACCCACAGTGAGAAGGGGTTGTCTTTGACAGCCCTTGCCCATGAGGTGAGGCAGTACAAATGGAACACACCTAAACACAAATCACCAGTGGACACTGAGTCTTAGACCTTTTTATTGAACGACAGGCCCCTGCCAAGGGCAGCAAGAGTCCTCATCAGGAAAAAGTGAGAGCCTTGTGCTTTTTATGATGCACCAAATCCTGCCTTATTGAGAGAACAACATTCCTCAGCAACTGAGGCCAAAGAAAAAGGCCCCAGATCTATGGCATGCCACTCATTCAAGGGAATCCTGTGATTAATCTGCACAATTTTATTGCAAGCCCTTCTGGCTATTTTCTATTGCTGTCTGGTTTTGTATTTTCACCCCAGCTGTTAGCAGAGGTTTATGCTACTACTGGAACAGGCTCATACAGCCAACACTCAGTGTGAGGACAGGATTCCCGTTATATGCACCACCTCAGACTTTGATTTGTCCTGCTGTCCTGCTTTATGTAACAGAAATGTGACAGAAACAATCCAACTTGACCAATGACAACATAATATTAGGTCAGTATGTAGCTTTCTGGGTAACATGTTAAAAATCTTTGTTATCTGTCTCCTTCCCTAGGCAGAAGTATTGCAAAGGCCAGAAACAATACTGGCAATTCATGAAATATTCAGGTGTACAGTTGCAATTCTTTAATAAATGGAAGTGACCTTCAAAACAGACATCCCAAAGATTAAGAGAACTTCTCAAAAGATGGCATTTGTCACTAATCAATGACTTACACTCTTCCTAGCAATGAATACAAAAAAAGACCTTTCAGAATTATTCGACTTTAAAAGCAAATAATTCATAAAACCTACACAAAAGAACATTAATGAGCTAGCAAAACAACAGATAGAAAACATCAAACAAGGAAATTGAAAGGATAAATCCCCTGTGCCTATCAGTCTCCATGTCTGGAGTGCTGGGAAGCCACTGGCACATCCATCTGCTGTTTCCAGGCCCTGGGTGATGCTGCCTGCACTAACTAAATATCTTTTATTATGATATTGTACATCAAAATATTTATAACATTTTACAAATGGGTTTCCTTTGTCACAGTCACACAGGTGTCTTGGCTCTAACTGGGTCACTGTATGGGAACAGATGTAATCTCAGCAGAATACAGTGGGAAATCTGGGCTACATTAACGACTGATCCAATTACAGTGGAAATCTCTAGAAAACCCATATTTATTAAGAACCTGGAGATAATTACAATGTACTTCTAGGGATGACCAGATGGACAAGCCAGTCTCAAACTCTTTAAGGGCAGTGGAGCTGAACAAGAGGTGCCAATGCCGTTCCTTACGTAGCTGGAGAATTCCCATTGTGAGGATGTGGTGAAAAAGCTGCAGATGAGGCTCACTGCAGACACCTGGGCAGAATGAATTTAGACCTGAGTCCAAACACATCCTAGGCCAGCAGCATGGCTTACCTGCTGCTCTGAGGGCAGGGGGACAGATGGAAAGGTTTCCAGGAAAGAATGCAGCAGGAATGAAGAAACCCCAGCCAGCTTTTTGTCCAAGACTATTTACACAAAAGAGCTCCTCGTGATTTAATATCAGGGCCTCTTGATGAGCTACATTTTCTCTTCTGAGTTGGAAATAAATGCTATCTCCCAGGCAGCAATCTGATCTCACACTTAAAGAAACTCAAGCGTCTTCCACAGAATTGCACCCAAGAAAAGAGAATGAAATACACTTGAGAAATCTGAGTATAAACATATCTTTTTACCAATGCAAAGGTAGATAAAATTTCATAGCAACCTCTGTGATCTTGATAACATGCTTCATCACAGGGGCCTGCCCTTGTCTCTAGTAAAACTGCATCTGTGAGTAGTCCCATTAAGGTAATTTGGATCTAAGAGGATGGCTGACTTTTAGCATTTGGTTAATTAGGAACTTTGCTGACTCAAGATCTTTTTTTTATCAGCTAAATATTTTATCTAAGAAGATAAATTAAGTACTGGAAGATAATATTTCTTATTTCTAGTACTTCCTGCCAGCTTCAAACTAGTAAATATTTACGTTTCAGCCACTGATAGCTAATGTGACCTTTCTGTTGCACACTACACCCATGCTATATTTTCCTCTCACTACTAACATTCTTTCCAGTCCATCTTTCATTAACAAGCAGTATTTAAATATATGCAAATTTCCTATTTTAGCTGATGTTTTAGCAACATTTTTAAGGTCACCTTGTTTGATCTATCACACAGACATAGCAAATTTATGCACCATATATCCTATCTCTACTTGTTTTTTACCTACATCTGTCTTCTCTGATTGCATTTGAACAGAGTTATTTTCTATTTTAAATAAAAGATTTATGCCTTAGCTGTCAGTTTGCCTTTATTTGAAAATTTAATTTTGTTTCTAGAAGTCTAGATTAAGTTATTAGATTTAACTGTCCCTTGTGCATTGCAGCAATAGCAGAAGTATATTTTCCCCGGTGGATAGAGAACATAAACAAAACACTCTCAACTTAAAAATAAAGAACGTTATTACTAAGACCAATATAACACAGTCCAGGATACAAAAACTGGTGGTGTCATTTTTAATTATGATGGTGAGGAATGGGAATTGACTAATAAATATGACAAATCACAAATCCAGCAGCCTCTAAAATCTGGAAAATGCTTTGCAGAAAAGGCATGTTGCCCCAAAATGTCCCCTACATTTAGGCTAGTGAATATCCCTTTGCACCACAGCACCACTGGGACGCACAACTTGATCTCTGATACTGAAGGGTTTATTTAAATGAGGCAGAAATTAGAATCAGCACCAGTTTCCAGTTGGTCAGAGGGCTATTTATTGATCCAGTGTGGTGTATCTCATCTTCAGTGTGACACCTTCTTTGGCATGTCTCAGCAGTGCTACATTGGTTATGTTTTCTCTCAAGGCCTGGAATTTTAGGGCTTTCCTAAAGCCATAACCATGTCACTGCAGTTGCAGCCTTGCAATGCCCAAACCAGCTGAGCTCTCTGGAGCAGGGCAGGGGGTGGGGTTTGGGGGAGTGTGATCTTATCAAATGTGTTCACATGTTTTCAGTCTTTTTCTCCATTTTTCATTTCTAGAAGTACCTGGGCTTCTGGCCAGTAATGTTATCTTCTCTTCACATGGTAACATCCATATAGACCCAGTCAGAATCTGGTCTTAATCAACCTCTGCACTTCTTATAAACACTCAGACACTACATCTTGTGATTCTGTGCTCTCAATGTGCAGTGTGAACAGAGAAAACAAAGAGCTGAAGGATAAATATTTACCTGGCTATATTAGTAAATCTTCAGTCACATAGGGGAAACCTTGCCCTGATTCCATTTTTTAAATACTGAATATCATGAAAACAGGTCCTTTGAGGAGAAAGAAGGAATTCCTTATACAAAGAAAACAAATGCATGCACATGATGCCTTCTGTCATTCACAAAGTATCAGCGAAGGGTTGAATGGCACATATGGCTACAAATTCCCCCTCTCTCCCAGTTGAGGACAACACAACAGCTATTTAATATCAGCAGTGAGGAAGAACAGTGTGGCCACCTCCTGCTCAGGGAGGCAGGACAGGGCAAAGCCGAACCTCTTTAGAAACCTTCAGTCAATGCACCTGTATGCATCAAGTGCTATCAAAGGCAAGCAGTCCCAGCAGTAACTAGTCAATCTTGACATCACCCCAATAAAAATTAAGTGAAAATACCACAAGGCACTATGGCCAGGCAGAGAGAACCATCACCATGAAAGCTGAACCTTCCTAAGGATTTGCTTGGAAAATCTTGTCAGCTCAGAAAAACTCTAAGATACACGTTCTAGACACAGTTATGAATATGAGCCTCCTGCTGCCACATCCTGGTAAAGAATTCACACAACCTGTATGACAACACTGTGGCACAGGATGACCACACCAGTGGGGCACTGGGCAAGGAGCCATCCAGGCTCACTCTCACCTGCTGTTTTGGTAGCAGGTCCTTTTGCTGGGAGCATGAGCCAACTGCTTCTGCTCTGATAGCAAAAATTCACCAAGGGTGTGTTACATTAACCCTTATGTCAACGACCTTTCAAAACATCATACAAGAAGAAAGTAAAAGGCTAAGACCTGCAAGGAAGTAAACTCTGCACTACACACTAAGTAGAATATATTATCATGACAATTACTTTGTTATAGAAAGCACCTTCAAATACCAAATAAATTGCACAAATCACTGCACTAATGCAGCTGAAAAGACTGCTCCTCCTCTCTTTGATTTAACAAGTAATTAATGAATACATAAACCCTGAACAAAACTTTAATCTATCCCAGTGTCAAATAATTAATCATTCGTTCCACGTTTAATCCTGTTCTGATAAAGGTAATTAATATTTTACCATGACACTGCAGAACAGAACAGTACCTGGGAGCAGAGAAGGCAGCCTTCCATTTCTCCTTTGTTGTAATGCTGAAGTGATAGGTGCTTGCTCTCAATGACAGGTAATCCAGAACACAGTGTTCCCCCACAGCTGTAAATTAAGGTTTATGCTTGTCATCTATTGTGATTGTAATGAAGCTTTTCTTGTTCTAACCAATTATTAAAAAAAAAAAAAAACAACAAACCAATAACAACAACCCAAAACCCAACAATATGAAAAATAGGCCACCTGAACTTGGTCAATCATTTTTCTGACCTGACAGCATTTAGGAAACCAGAGCTTGCACAAATGTTTTGGCCTATAGAATGTCACTGAACATATGCCAGGGATGTGGATAGAGAACAAAGCATGTGCATATTGTCTGCTTCTGTCCACAGAGAGCTGTGCCGTGAGAAAAGCAACTGGATGAAGATTTAAGTCCTAATTTTACTGCAGGAAAACACTGACATCTTTTTTGAAAGCTTGAAGTCTAATCAAGAAATGTGTTGATGTGCACAAAATTAAATTGAAGGAAATCCTATGTTGATTTTTCTCAGGGTGACACATCTCAGGTATCCACATATTTCAACAAAGAGTTTCACAAGGAAGATTCTATAAGAAACAAATTGCCTTGGGAGCCTGCAACTCAATTACTCAAAAATAGAGAGGCATACCTTCAGAGTCATCTCCTTGCTCAGCATTCTCCAGTAGGACCCCAAATCCTTCTCCCTAAACAAATGCTATATATACTGTCATAATTTATTCTCATTCAAATGCAAGAAAAAAACCTAAACCCAAACCCTTGATTGAGAATACCAATTGTACTGACAAGTTTTCACAAGAAATCTAGCTTGTGACACAAACCCCTCCCAGAGTCATGTAGTGATACCCATGAGCTGTAGTGTCTCCTTTTCCTAATGTGCTATATCAATGCTACTACCCCAGCTGTCATTAATCTAATTCTCCATTATGTCCCAAATCAATAAAGCAAAACTTTCAGGTGGGGGTCTCTGGTGGAGTAGGGCTAAATAAACCCACATGAAACCAGGCAGTTTTAATTTTGGGACCTGTCAAGAGCTATTTTATCTGCAAACCAATTTGCACACCTGATAACAGCTTATCTGAGGTGACTGATATTTTTAACACCTGGACAGCAATTCTTGCCAATTATGCTGGACAGAATTTGCACAGTTACAGAGAACTTTGATTTAGGATCATGGTTCTATTAGCTGAGATGAATTTCAAAAGATTCTGTTTTCCATTAGCTCTAAATACTTTGAAGATGCACCCAACTTCTCACTGCTTGAATAGAAACTACAGCTGCTAGGAACCTGAGTCATACTCCTTTCTCAGAGCACTTCTCAATGCTAAAATAAAACCTAAGTATCTGGTAAAGTGCTGGTTTTAGGTTTATAAGGAACACCTGACCTGATTAGGGGCAATGAATCATTGAGGCGAATGTCCTGCTCCTGGCAGCAGCAGCTTCAAAGGAATGCTATGGCCCCACAATAAAGCCTTAGCAATAGATTTTATTTTTGTGTTTCTTGATTGAGTCAACAGTTCTTTTGCACAGGAGACAACTTAAAAACTGATTGTCTATGCCACATCTTTAACTTGTGCTTGCAGCAGTGGGTGATATTTATTCCCTTGTACCAATAGTCACACGGATTTGTTGGCCAGCTGCTGCACTGTCACTTCATTTCTGACTCCCACAAGGAAACCTTTTCCATATTCATGAACACTGCATTAATTTCTAAGATCCTGGAAACTCTCACTGAAGCTGTGTATTATAATCCAATTGATTTTTTTATTGCTTAAGATCAACAAAGCCTTAATTCACTGCAGGAACCGTGTCGTGTGATATTTTGTATACATGCACCCATAACATTACATCTTTGCTATCACTTGGATTTTATTTCTACTCATTTATGCTAATTATTTTAAATGGGAAGGATTAAATTATTGATATATGTAAATGTACCATTCTACATTACATTTGATGAGATTGCATTAGGAAGGGTTACTCTTGTAAAAAAAACATATTTCTACTCTATAAGAAAACCAATGCTAAATTGCAGTGGTAGCTATCAGCCAAGGCTAGACCCATTCATGCTAATATGACCTTCAATTAGTGAAGCAGACATCTCAAGACCCAGCTATTTTATCCGACACACAGTAGAAGAGGAGGAAATGTTGGTATCCTTGAAAAATTCTACTTTGAGGTGACCTTCTACTTAGCCAGGCTCATTATGCAAAACAAAAATAATTGTGCATCTTCTTCCTAGTCTCACTTAAGGAGGTTTTTGGCAAATTTCAAATTACAAATAATGATTTAACCCATAGATTTATGCTAATACATAGCAGCTCAGGCAGCACATGCATCCTGTACAATTCCCCAGAGACACTGGTTTACTGTGTTTTCTTTTTCTTAGCAGCAACAGATATAAGCTTTTACTTGAAAAAAGACCACTACACATCTACTTAGGTCCAGATTTTTTAAATAGCAAATACCATTGTGACATCCTTAGATACCAAAGGACTTGGTGGCCCCCACAGTAGTTTTCTCACTGCAAACAGTTGCAAAGTTATGCTGAAAATCTGGCTCACTTCAGTGCTTAAGTAGTTCAGATTTCTTTCATTCTTATTCACAAATATGGCACCTTTGACATGACAAACAAGTGAATATATCACATTCAATTTGTAAGCTGTAATATACACAAAGACTTTTAAGGCTACTAAAGTAGGTTTATTCTAGTCAGAAGGAAAATCAATGAAATCACATGTGGAATATTCTCTAATTTTTATATGAGCCTTTTCAGCAACACACTGTGGGCAGGAAAGGAGTTCCATAAAATGTTTATTTAATGAACAGTCACATTTCTTTTAAGTTAGGTATTAGAATACAGAGAAATAAATTAGAGAGAGATGCTTAAGTGCCTAAATAGAAACAACAAGCACAGGTAAAAGATTTTAAGTTTAATGGTTTTAAAGGTTAAAAGTTGACTGTTAGGAACCAACAACCAGGACCATGAACAGTGCAAAGTACATGAGACTGGAAAGGATGGTAAATCTTCATAGGTAAATCCATTGAAAGAGAGAAGAACCAGTCAAATAAACAGGGGCTTCCCAAAAAGGTCAAAGAATTGACAGGAGTGGAGGGGAATATGTAAAGAGACACAGCTGGTATATATTGCCATTACTTACTGAAGCCAGGTGAGACATAACAACCTAGATAATAGCTAAGGATTTGGCTGTGCAAAGTCATAGACAGGATGAGATAATAGGTACAATGGGATCGTGTTCTATTCTTGGTACAGGAGAGAGAATCTGAATAAACTTTCTTCTACAATATCTATACAATTCCCTTCAGTTTGCTGTCATATTCTGGACACTGAAATATGTCACAATGCTTACTTTTTTCTTTCCAAGCTTGCCTTCTCTTCTGAAACTATTTTATATGTATTATTCTTTGGCTGTGCCTATCATCATGTATATATATATATATATATATATATATATATATATATATATATATATATATATATACACACACACACATTTTTCCAGAACTCCTGCAGTCATATGAGGATGGAGACATTCCCAAGTCTTTCAGGATTTTCATGCAGGTCTTAGACAAGGGGTTTTGTTTGTTTGTTTTTTCTGGTTTGGCTTTTTTTGCAGGGGAGACGGTGGGAGAACTTTTTCTGATTGGTTGGATTCGGGGCAGGATTTTGTTTATTTGTTTGGGTTTATTTCCTTTCGCTCTTTATTTGTCATTTTCTGCTTAGCTAAGTTATTTGAAAACAAAGAGGGTTTTGAGCACAGCCTTATGTGGGTGGGCTTAGCCAAACTGTTAGGCACACAGTCTGCTAGTTTTGAGTGGTTCTTAATATTGTAGACTTTCTTTTTCCCTAAACGAGACTAACAGCCAGAGAAACGAGTCCTTGGAAATACTCTTGGTTTTGCCCCCTGTTTTGCGTGAACCAGTGCTAACAGGCAGCCTGAGAAATGCCCCTTTTTCCCTGCTGGGGGATCCCCAGGCTGGAAGATCCCCCTTTCCCGGCTGGGGGTATCCCCCTTTTCTCTCCTAGAGATCCCCCTTCCTCCGGCATGGGGGATCCCTCCTTTCCCCGCTCTGTCCCGGGGCTGGGTGCAATAGACAGCCCAGAGGATTCCCATTTCCCCTTTTCCCGGTTCCCTGTTCCCGCTCTGTGCCGCTGCAATAGGAAGATCCCCGTTTCCCCTTTTCCCGTTCCCGCTGTGTAATAGGCAGCCCAGGGGATCCCTGTTCCCCGTTCCCGCTGTGTCCCGGTGCAATAGGCAGCCCAGGGGATCCCTGTTTCCCCGTTCCCGCTGTGTCCCGGTGCAATAGGCAGCCCAGGGGATCCCTGTTCCCCGTTCCCGCTGTGTCCCGGTGCAATAGGCAGCCCAGGGG